ACCACTACTTTGACCCAAAAATCCAAATTTGAAGAAAATTGCCGACCCGAAGGTATACTGTAACCTTAACTGAGTTCTACTACTGAACCTGTGCATGGCTTGTAATCGCTTTATTTTCAAAGGAAATGAATCGGCCTTTACGGCCGATTCATTTCCTTGACGTAGTCGGGAGATACGGCCAGGGACCACGTGACCCGTGAGAGGTTAAGCACGGGGAAATATCGTCGAGATATAATAGGCATTATTAAATGACTGAGCTAATCCGCGATGAAAAGGAAAATTCTATCTGATTGGTCCACTTAGCGGTAAAATTTTTCAACACGGGCCGCTAAGATAAGAAAAAGTATTTTGTTAAGTAGATATCTTTGAACCTTCATGTTTGAGGGACAATTTAGTTAGCGACGGGACAAAATAAATAACTGCTATGTCGCGCGCGTTAGTCAGCACCTTCATACAGGTTTTGACTCATACATACATACATACATACATACTTTATTTGGTCACGCAGGTTAGAGAATCTGGCAGCCATTGGCTGATGTGGACCTACATTACTGATTCACAACATTTACATCTAATAGAAAAATAAAAAGACCAAATATGTACAATGTGTGAGTAATATAGAAATTAGAATTAAAAAGAAAAAAAATTTTCAATAATAATAAAAGTGGTCTGATTTATTTGTAATCAGTGAACTCTCCTTTTCGAAGGTGAAATTGTTTAAAAATTTGGAGAATTGCTTTAAACGATTTTTAAACGAGGTGACATTATCATAGTCTTTAACGCTGTTGGGAATTGAGTTCCAGATCATAGTTCCTCTATGTCGAAGAGAAAGTCTGCCTATTTCCTTTTTGGGTCTGTCCAGTACCAGTTGTTTTGATCGTCGAGAGTTATGCACTGTTGCTTTCACTGAAAACAATTCAGTTATTTGTGCTGGGCCAGCTTGATAAAAGGCTCGGTGGACATGTTTTAGTATAGCTCTTTTGTACATGTACATGTTTCAGTGATGTTAATTTGACTCAACTAACAATTTTATGACGACACCAGAGTCCTTTGAGCAGGAGTAAACGGGTTCTGAGATTTAAAAGCCTGATAGACATTCCACCTTTAATATCATGTTTAAGAAAAGTATGTGGCACAACAAGAACACGCATTTTTTTGACAGGTCGCTTAACCCCAGGTTTTAGTCACCAACGTTTTGCCCGAAAGAAAATTGATTCCGAGGCTTTAAAGACATTACTAACTCGTCAAATTTTAAGATAAGATTTTTTAACGGTGAGACGGACCATTCTAGGAGGTGATATACTTTTCTTGTTCTTGTTGTCAGGAAAGACCGCGAATTTGCTTTCGAATGAAGCAAGGTTGCGTCGTTAAGACTGAGATAAAACAAACTGAAACTTTTATCCACTCCGTTTCCCTGCCGACGCATCGCTCTGATTAAAATCATATTGAAAATTAAGACTACCCGGCCG